GTGGCCCAAAAAGAAAAACAAAAGTTTCTCTTTTTCAATTTAGTAATTTATACAGTAGTAGGGGTTACTAGCCCCTTGCTGCCGGCATTTTAGTCGCCCCTTACAACACGCATGCCTTACGGAGGAAGAATTCAGTTCCACTTCCCCACGGAGATAAGAGGAAATAAACAAGAACAAAAACTAGAAAGAAAATAGAAGAAAACCCAGAGGGGTGTGTATATATACGCTTGTACATGTATGTGTTTGTTAGATTATGTATTGGTGGATAAAAGGTTGATGAGTAGGCTCCAGGTTGTACATGTTTATTGAGGGGCAACTGATATATCGGATCATTATTTAGTTGTAGCTACAGTTAGAGTAAGAGATAGATGGGACAAGAGGAAGGTGGCAACAACAAGAAAGAGGGAAGTGAAAGTGTATAAACTAAGGGAGGAGGAAGTTCGGGTGAGATATAAGCGGCTATTGGCAGAAAGGTGGGCTAGTACAAAGATGAGTAGTGTGGGGGGGGGGGGGGTTGAAGAGGTTTGGATAATTTTTAAAAATGCAGTATTAGAATGTGGGGCAGAAATTTGTGGTCATAGGAGGGTGGGGGAAGGAGGAAAGAGGAGTGATTGGTAGAATGATGAAGTAAAGGGTGTGATAAAAGAGAAAAAGTTAGCTTATGAGAAGTTTTTACAAAGTAGAAGTGTTATAAGAAGAGCAGAGTATATGGAGAGTAAAAGAAAGGTGAAGAGAGTGGTGAGAGAGTGCAAAAGGAGAGTAGATGATAGAGTGGGAGAGGCACTGTCAAGAAATTTTAATGAAAATAAGAAAAAAATTTGGAGTTAAACAAGTTAAGAAAGCCTAGGGAACGTATAGACTTGTCAGTTAAAAACAGAGTAGGGGAGTTAGTAGATGGGGAGAGAGATGTATTAGGTAGATGGCAAGAATATTTTGAAGAACTTTTAAATGTTGAGGAAGAAAGGGAGGTGGTAATTTCATGCACTGGCCAGGGAGGTATACCATCTTTTAGGAGTGAAGAAGAGCAGAATGTAAGTGTGGGGGAGGTACGTGAGGCATTATGTAGAATGAAAGGGGGTAAAGCAGCTGGAACTGATGGGATCATGACAGAAACGTTAAAAGCAGGGGGGGATATAGTGTTGGAGTGGTTGGTACTTTTGTTTAATAAATGTATGAAAGAGGGGAAAGTACCTAGGGATTGGCGGAGAGCATGTATAGTCCCTTTATATAAAGGGAAGGGGGACAAAAGAGATGATAAAAAATATAGAGGAATAAGTTTACCGAGTATACCAGGAAAAGTGTACGGTAGGGTCATAATTGAAAGAATTAGAGATAAGACAGGATGTAGAATTGCGGATGAGCAAGGAGGCTTCAGAGTGGGTAGGGGATGTGTAGATCAAGTGTTTACATTGAAGCATATATGTGAACAGTATTTAGATAAAGGTAGGGAAGTTTTTATTGCATTTATGGATTTAGAAAAGGCATATGATAGAGTGGATAGAGGAGCAATGTGGCAGATGTTGCAAGTACAGTGGACCCCCGGTTTACGATATTATTTCATTCCAAAAGTATGTTCAGGTGCCATTACTGAACGAATTTGTTCCCATAAGGAATATTGTGAATTAGATTAGTCCATTTCAGACCCCCAAACATACACGTACAAATGCACTTACATAAATACACTTACATAATTGGTCGCATTGAGAGCTGATCGTAAAGTGGGGGTCCACTGTATATGTAAATGCTGTGAAGAGTTTTTATGAGGATAGTGAGACTCAGGTTTGGGTGTGTAGAAGAGAGGGAGACTACTTCCCGGTAAAAGTAGGTCTTAGACAGGGATGTGTAATGTCACCATGGTTGTTTAACCCTTTGAGGGTCGACAGGCCCTCTCCGAGACTCATTCTCAGGGTCGGCCAAATTTAAAAAAAAAAAAAAAATTCTTATGAAAAGATAGAGAATCTTTTCCCAATCATAATGACACCAAAAGTATGAAATTTGAAGGAAAACTTGCGGAATTATGCTCTTGCGAAGTTAGCGGTCTCGGCGATGTTTACGCATCGGCGATTTTGCCCAATTTGAGCCCCATTTTCGGCCAATTCGACTGTACTAGTCAACAAAAAACATGAATATTTAGCTAGAACTCCATTTTTTCTATTGAATGAGTGCAAGAAACCACCCATTTACCAATTTCAACTATCCATTACAGTGGTCAGAATTTAGGAATTTTGCCAATTTCACACAAATTTCAAAAGATGCCAATTTCCAAATAGGGTCCAGAATAAACAAGAAAGACATTACTGGCACTAAAATGACATTTCCTCTGTTCATTAGTCACGTCTCAAGGCCCCTCTTACATTCTTTTGCTTTCCACTTTGAATTTTTATTCTCACAAAAAATAGAAGATTTACTGTTATGCAGACTACTGCATTAGTGTAAAAAATGGCATAAATAATATTGGCGCACTTGCAGAAGAATATCAGACTCACCAGTTGACGTGTATTGGATGCTTGGCATGATTTGTTTACTTTTGAACTTGGGTAAAAACCGAACATTTCTGCTACTTTGAGTTCAATTTCAAGGTACTTTTCATTGTAAAACCAGTCAAAATCATCTCAATTTCTGTAATATGTCTTCCATTCTATAAAATGAGACCAAGAAAACTAGAATACAACAATAAATACCATACGAAAATACAGTGCAAAGTCGCTGTTTTATTCCAAAAAAACGGTCAATGTTTTTTTTCTCATTATGCACTGTGTGCTGCAGGATTTTTTTATACTGTGCACACTGACCACATAGACCCATTCTTTCATATGTATGCCTACCAGCTTTCTCCCACTAGACTTGAGGGCGCTAGAATTTAGGTGTACTAGTACGTCAAAAACCCTGGGTCGTAAGCCGTACTAGTACGGCCGAAACCCTCAAAGGGTTAATATATTTATAGATGAGGTTGTAAAAGAAGTAAATGCTAGGGTGTTCGGGAGAGGGGTGGGATTAAATTATGGGGAATCAAATACAAAATGGGAACTGACACAGTTACTTTTTGCTGATGATACTGTGCTTATGGGAGATTCTAAAGAAAAATTGCAAAGGTTAGTGGATGAGTTTGTGAGTGTGTGTAAAGGTAGAAAGTTGAAAGTGAACATAGAAAAGACTAAAGTGATGAGGGTACCAAATGATTTAGATAAATAAAAATTGGATATCCAATTGGGGTGGAGTATGGAAGAAGTGAATGTTTTCAGATGCTTGTGAGTTGACGTGTCGGCGGATGGATTTATGAAAGATGAGGTTAATCATAGAACTGATGAAGGAAAAAAGGTGAGTGGTGCGTTGAGGTATATGTGGAGTAAAAAAACGTTATCTATGGAGCCAAAGAAGGGAATGTATGAAAGTATAGTAGTACCAACACTCTTATATGGGTGTGAAGCTTGGGTTGTGAATGCAGCAGCGAGGAGGCGGTTGGAGGCAGTGGAGATGTCCTAAGGGCAATGTGTGGTGTAAATATTATGCAGAATATTCAGAGTGTGGAAATTAGGAGAAGGTGTGGAGTTAATAAAAGTATTAGTCAGAGGGCTGAAGAGGGGTTGTTGAGATGGTTTGGTCATTTAGAGAGAATGTACCAAAGTAGAATGACATGGAAAGCATTTATATCTGTAGAAGGAAGGCGGGGTAGGGGTCGTCCTCGAAAAGGTTGGAAGGAAGGGGTGAGGGAGGTTTTGTGGGTGAGGGGCTTGGACTTCCAGCAGGCGTGCATGAGCGTGTTCGATAGGAGTGAATGGAGACGAATGGTATTTGGGACCTAACAACCTGTTGGAGTGTGAGCAGGGTAATATTTAGTGAAGGGATTCAGGGAAACTGGTTATTTTTATATAGCCGGACTTGAGTCCTGGAAATGGTAAGTATAATGCCTGCACTCTAAAGGAGGGGTTTTGGGATATTAGCAGTTTGGAGGGATATGTTGTGTATCTTTATACATATATGCTTCTAAACCGTTGTGTTCTGAGCACCTCTGCAAAAACAGTGATTATGTGTGAGTGAGGTGAAAGTGTTGAATGATGATGAAAGTATTTTCTTTTTGGGGATTTTCTTTTTTGGGTCACCCTGCCTCGGTGGGAGACGGCCAACTTGTTGAAAAAAAAAAAAAAAAAATGTATGTGTAGTGTGACCTAAACATAAGCAGAATTAGCAAGACGTACCTGAAATCTTGCATGTTTACGAGACAAAAAAGACACCAGCAATCCTACCATCATGTAAAACAATTACAGGTTTCCATTTTACACTCACCTGGCAGGACGGTAGTACCTCCCTGGGTGGTTGCTGTCTACCAACCTACTACCTATATTTATGATTCTTATTATTATTTATTATTATTATTAGTTGTTCTTTGTTACACTGCTTAGTTACATTTTTCGATACTTTATTTTTACTGGAGAGAAAATATGAATTTTATTTTATAGAAGTGAAGAAGTTTGGGTTCACTGGGCACCCATAAATGTACATATCCTAAAATTTTTGAAACTTGTAATTACTAATGAGCTTATTAATCAGTGTTTTCTAGAAAGAATAACTTTTTTTTTTTTTCAACAAGTCGGCCGTCTCCCACTGAGGCAGAATAACTACTGTTTTCAAAACTTCTTTAGGTATGTGCTGAATGCATTTGTTAAATAATTTCCCCTAACCTTGTTTTTCGGTGTGTGTGTGCGCATGACGTATCTATCCAAACCATACCACGGGTGGGGTTTGATCCCACGGTCAGAGAGTCTCAAAACTCCAGACCAGCTAGCCACAATAAGATTCGTCCAACTAGGTATATTTCTACACCATAGGAAGGTTAGCATAGGCACCACTGTGACCACATCTATCTTTTTGTCTAGTTAAATAATTCAGGTGAATATTTTCAAACTTATTTCCAAACATTTTATACAGTAGTCGGTCATGTCACTATCAAAGATACCTCTTCTAGTTCAACATTACTATGTGATCACTTGTATGGTACTAACCTTTGTTGGTTGTGGGCCCCAGCCAAGCCCTCGTGCCAGCTTGCCAAAGAATTGAGACATCCTGTCATGTAGGCTGCCCTCTGGTATCACCGATCCATCACACACTAACTGAGTAATAAACAATGAAACACCCATCTATGTAGCAATTTGGAGGATAACATTTAAAGAATCACATGTGTCTAAATTTCAAATTTAAAGTTTGATAATCAAAACTAATAACTATTTAATCAATACAGTAAAAGTCATTCTAATACTGTAATTAAAATGGCAAAAATTAGCGGTATTGTATCTTCAAATCACATTAAAGAAATTTCTTGTTGCTGCTTCTGCTAAATAGCAGATCAACCAGGCTGTGATGGCTATGTGGGCCAGCAAGCTGCTACCAGCATCAGCCTGGCTGAAAAGACAATCAATAAAAAAATCTGGCCTCAAGATGGACTGCAAAGGTAGAAAAGCCCTCAAAACTGATGACAGGTACACATGTAAAAGAAAAATGATTATCTACTTCCAAAAATTCCATTTTCCTCAATATCGTACAAGAATTATCAATGATAATAGAGTATATATCAATTTGTCAGGCTACAAGACAATCTTCTTGTAACTAAATTAAGAAAAAATTAAAATTTAAGCATTTTTACTTTATTATTCCATTTACATAAAGGAACATCACTTTAACATTTTACAGAGGAATTCATTATTGCATTCTACCTTCATTAGTTCCATAACTACTTCTAAGATTTTCATCTACAGATATGAATTCATTGAAAAATGGTTTGCAAGTGCTATTCCAAGAAATGCTGAGTTCGACAAGAGTATACATGTATATACACAAACTTAATCAATTAAGTAAACCAAAATTAATAATAATTTACACTATGTTCAAAATAAAGAATAATGGAGAACATGCACCTCAGATACTGTATTTCAAATGTGCTTCAGTAACCAAGACCTGTAAATAAACAATAACAACTTACAAAAAGGACTGTAGGTACGACTTAAGAATGTGTAAAAATGTCACTAGACAAAAACTATCAAAATTATAAATAAAACAAGCAATGATGGGATCATATACTCAAATGCATATTTAGAGAGTCATCATAAACAAGAGGCACTTGCTTGAAAAAAAAAAAATTTAAGTTTAGCAAGAAAAAAAAAAAGAATTAAGATAAAAGAAACACCAATAAGTGTACAGCTACCCTATGAAAAAAGCAATGCATAATGATTGAAATAAAGAAGCTGTTGAGCACAAATTCTTACATAATAGTACAGTAAATATACCTCAGAGTTTGGTATGGTATTAGTATCATAGGAAATTTGACACCACACACTAGCAAAATATCCAAATTAGGCACATACATTTCCATTATCTGTGAAACACAGTACTCCAAGTGGTTTGCCACGGATAAACACTATGTAATACGGTGGACCCTCGAGTTACTAACTTTTTTCGTTCCAAACGGCTGGTCAAATGCTGTTACTGAACGAATTTCCTCTCATCAGGAATACATAATGTAAAATAGATTAATCTGTATCAGACTGCTGAAAATATATTTACAAAAACACTTACAAAAATACACTTACATAATCTGTCATGTGGGAGTGGTTCTTAACTCGAGGGTCGACTGTATTACCATCTTCACTAGAAATACTGGCATTATTAACTAGACTTTCTTGATAAATACGTATACAAGCTTTTAAAATAAAACACACTACATCTTTATCAAGAAAACCGAGACAGCTCATCAAGCTCTTATAGTACAAAAGGTACTATGGCATTATTTTCAGCAAAATAGAATGCTGGAAATCATCACATGGTAGACATATTATGATAGTGAGACAGCCATCATTATCATTACCTGGAGATTACCTGGAGAGAGTTCCAGGGGTCAACGCCCCTGCGGCCCAGTCTGTGACCATGTTCAATATACTAAAACAACTTTATTTCTATGAAGTTAAGTAATGTACGGTATACAATTAGGGTAACCAACATGTACAAACTACTTTATAAAAAGCCCCTTGCTATGCAAACCATTTTGGGCAGCCTTAAAAATAACTTACAATTACTAGACAATGAGAGAGTGCATAATATGACTATTTGCTAGTTTAATCTGCAGGCTGAGTGTTGTTTTCATACACGTAATGCCATCTTGTGGAAGTGTTCTCAAACTCGCTTATATGTAGTACGTATTATTATAGTATTATTGATTAGTAGTAATACATATGTACAGTGTTTTAATAATTCATATTATTATACAGTGGATCCCCGCATAACGATCACCTCCGAATGCGACCAATTATGTAAGTGTATTTATGTAAGTGCGTTTGTACGTGTATGCTTGGGGGTCTGAAATGGACTAATCTACTTCACAATATTCCTTATGGGAACAAATTCGGTCAGTACTGGCACCTGAACATACTTCTGCATTGAAAAAATATCGTTAACCGGGGGTCCACTGTATTATGTTTTTTTTTTAACACACTGGCCGTATCCCACCGAGGCGGGAGGGCCCAAAAGGAAAAATTAAAGTTTTCTCCTTTTACATTTAGTAATATATACAGGAGAAAGGGTTACTAGCCCCTTGCTCCTGGCATTTTAGTCGCCTCTTACAACACACATGGCTTACAGAGGAAGAATTCTGTTCCACTTCCCCATGGAGGTAAGAGGAAATAAACAAGAACAAAAACTAGTAAGAAAATAGAAGAAAACCCAGCGGGGTGTGTGTATATATATATATGCTTGTACATGTAAGTGTAGTGTGACCTAGATAAGTAGAAAGTAGCAAAGACGTACCTGAACTTTGCTGTTTGGGGGACAGAAATGGACACCTGCAATTCCTACCCATCTTGTAAAACAATTACAGGCTTTCGTTTTACACTCACTTGGAAGGACGGTAGTACATCCCTGGGCAGTTGCTGTCTACCAGCCTACTACCTAAAATTATATTATGTAAATTATATATAATATTATATGTATTATTATTAGGAGCACTTAGGAGTCTGTGGAGACAAAGAACTTTGTCCTTGAAGGCAAAGAGGGGAATGTATGAGAGTATAGTTTTACCAACGCTCTTATATGGGTGTGAAGCATGGGTGATGAATGTTGCAGCGAGGAGAAGGCTGGAGGCAGTGGAGATGTCATGTCCGAGGGCAATGTGTGGTGTGAATATAATGCAGAGAAATCGTAGTTTGGAAGTCAGGAGGAGGTGCAGGATTGCCAAAACTGTTGTCCAGAGGGCTGAGGAAGGGTTGTTGAGGTGGTCTCGACAGGTAGAGAGAAATGGAGCGAAACAGAATGACTTCAAGAGTGTATCAGTATGTAGTGGAAGGAAAGGCAGTATGGGTCTGCCTAGGAAAGGTTGGAGGGGAGGGGGTAAAGGAGGTTGTGTGTGCGAGAGGCCTTGGACTTCCAGCGGCATGCTGTGAGCGTGTTTGATAGGAGTGAATGGAGACCACAATGGTTTTTAATACTTGAGTGCTGTTGGAGTGTGAGCAAAGTAACATTTATGAAGGGATTCAGGGAAACCGGCAGGCTGGACTCGAGTCCTGGAGATGGAAAGTACAGTGCCTGCACTCTGAAGGAGGGGTGTTAATGTTGCAGTTTAAAAACTGTAGTGTAAAGCACCCTTCTGGCAAGACAGTGATGGAGTGAATGGATGGTGAAAGTTTTTCTTTTTCAGGCCACCCTGCCTTAGTGGGAATCGGCCAATGTGCTAATAAAAAAAAATATTATTATTATTATTATTATTATAATAATAATAATACTCTTGCTTACCATTTGGAATTTTTATTCACACAAAAGAAATTAAGAAGATTTACTGGTTATGCAGGATACTGCATTATTGTAATACAGTGGACCCCGCATACCGATGGCACCACATACCGATCGATTAATCCGCATACCGCTTGCTTAATCGCAAAAAATTTTGCCTCCCGGCATACAGCTTAAAAACCCGCTCAACGATTTTCGTCCGAGACGCGTCAATGTGCGCCCTTAAGCCAGCCTCACTGTGTCCGCCCGTTTTTGCCATTGTTTACAGCCAGCCTCCGCGGTAACATCCAAGCATTACAAATCGGAATATTTCGTATTATTACAGTGTTTTCGGTGCTGTTTCTGGAAAATAATTGACCATGGGCCCCAGAAAGCTTTCTAGTGCCAACCCTACACCAATAAGGGTGAGAATTTCCAATAGAAATGAAAGAAAGGATCTTTGTAAGTATGAAAGTGGAGTGCGTATCGCCGACCCTGGTCAGGTTTGTACAAGAAAAAACCCAACTCAACCATCGCTACTATTGTGGGCACCAGAAGGCAATAGGAAGCTGTTCTTGCAAAGGGTTTATGCTGTGGTTTCGGATACAAAGATGCAAGTGATGGAAGATGTTGAGAGACTCTTATTGGTGGGATAATGAAAAACACCGTAGCTGGAGATAGCTATCTCTCAAGGATTCATAATAAGCTCGAAAAGGTCTACGGAAGTTGCTCAGGATTTATTAAAAAAAATGCCTGCAACTGTGCCTGAATGTGAGTGAATTTAAGGCCAGCAAAGGTTTTGGTTTGAGACGATTTAAGAAGCGTAGTGCATAACATAGTGTGATAAGGATGGTGAGGCTGCCAGTTGGACCAACCAAAGCGGCTCTGGAAAAAATATGTGCAGGAATTCATGATGTACATAGTGACTGAAGGACGGAAACCTGGAACAAGTGTTTAATTGTGATGAAACCAGGCCTGTTTGGAAGAAAATGCCAAGCAGGACCTACATTACTCTGGAGGGAAAAGGCCACTCCCAGGACATAAAGCCTATGAAAGACAGGCTTACTTTGTGATGTGTTCCAATGATACTGGTGATTGCAAAGTTTAGCTTTTATTAGTGTATCACTCTGTAACTCCCAGACCGTTTCAGGCAAAAAAGAATGTCCTCAAGGAGAATTTGTGGGTGCTGTGGAGGGCCAAACAATAAGGCATGAGGTCACTAGGGACTTTTTCTATGATGGTTACACCATGCATTTGCCCCCAATGTGAAAAGATTACCTAACTGAAAAGAAATTAGAACTTAAGTGGCCTCCTGGTGTTGACAATTGCCCTGCGTCATTCCTACAGACCGTGGCCCAGA